CCACAAAAAATGTGAAGTATAATATTAATAAAGAAATATAATATAATATACAAATATATTTATATTACAATATAATATACATTACCACTTAAATGTTTACGGTCAGCAAGATTTTGAATGTTTTTGAAAGAAGTCTCTTATGCTCACCAAGGCTGCATTTATTTTTGTTAAAAATACAGTAAAACAGTAATATTGTGAAGTATTACTACAACTTAAATAGCTTTTCTACTTGAATATATTTTAAAATGTCATTTATTCCAAAGCTGAATTTTCAGCATCATTACTCCAGTCTTCAGTGTCACATGATCCTTCAGAAATCAGTCTAATATGCTGCTTTGCTGCTCATGAAACATTTAATATTATCAATGGTGTAAACAGTTGTGAGCCAGTAAAAATAAAAGAAACAGTGAAAGAGAGATGAAGAAATTCTAAGAAAAAAAAAAGTTGGAAGCATCTACCTCGCACTAGCTGGGAACATCTCACCACATCTGTGTGTGGATGATCTATTGTTATCTCAAACCCTGAAACAAAATCACCGGTTAGGCAGGACTCATATGTTCACCGCTTTCATTAAGCACAGATTTATTATCAGATCCTGGTAATGGAGTCGGCACTTACCGAGTGTCTGCAGCACTATGGTCTCCAACAGCACCAGCTCTTGAGCCTGCTGGAGGTACACCTGTGGTTTAACAATCACATCAGCTCATTAGTGGGGTCTGATCCCAATGTTTCTGGTGATGGCCAATCAATTTACAGAATTTACATATTATAATATATTTATATTAAGGCTTGAGGGTAAGCATATTTATTTTAATTTAAAACAACAGTTTTAAGCTTTAAGAAAATCAAAAAGAGCCCCATTCACTTTGATTACAAATGCTACTAACCTTATTGTGCATAACTTCAGAAAAAGAGGAAAAAATGTTTATTTTCAAACTGAAATGTTATAAAATTACTATTAAATACAATAAAAACCATTTTTATTCAAGTATTTTTTTTTTAATAGTTTTAAACTATTAAGCATTGTGGGTATTATGTTAGCTTTGATTTCTTTTATATATATTTTTAAATAAATCATGTTTTATTCAAAAAGAAATACATATTTCAAAAGTCTATTTCTTAAAAACAACAAAATCAAAAAGAGCCCCATTCACTTTCATTATAAATGCTACTAACCTTATTATGCATAACTTCAGAAAAAGAGGGAAAAAAATATTTTAACTGTCAATGTTATCAAATTATTAATAAATACAATAAAAAACAACAACATAAAATCAAAAAGAGCCCCATTTATTTTCATTATAAATGCTCCTAAACTTATTCTTTATAACTCCTAACAAAAAAAATCTCCACATACAAACATGTGATTATATTGTATATTTTATTTTTAGAAATTAAAAATCAATTGTTTTTCCTACAAACATGTAAAATCAAAATAAGCCCAATTTACTTTCATAATAAAAAAAATAAAAAAAAGGGAAATTGTTTGTTTTTAACAGCTATCAATGTAACCGATTTCTGTGGAAAAATTTGTTCAGGCCATCTGAATTGGAATAATGTTCCAATAAACTGCAAAACAATAAAATAAAGTCCAGTCCAACAATACTTCATACAAAATATTCAGTTTCACTGAGAAATGACACATTATGCAAATTGAAGCCACTGCAAATGTCACTTAATGTTGTCATTATGTAAATATAGGAAAACATCAAATCTATGGGACAAGCATTTCGGTTTGTACACATATTGATTCCCAGTCCGTGTGATGCAACTGTCAAAGCATCTAGCTATCTAAAATGATGAATAAAGCGGAGAGCGAAACTACATCCCCCATAAACCCCCACACTCACATTGCTCTTGGTGTCCAGTGGAGGGTCCTGAGGGTTCAGGCAAGCATGTGCTACTTTAATAACGTGTTCAAGTTTCCTTGGTTGTTCCTCCACCTTAGCGGCCAGAAAGAGTGTGGTGGGAGAAATGATCTGATCGAAGACAGGAAATAATTATTATACACCTCTTAAAATAACACACACACAGACAAAAACAATAAACAATGGGGTTACGAATGAGACTAGTTCTGGCAATTAAAACAGAGTGAAATCCTGAAAGATCTTGAGCATTAACAAACTAACAAACACATACAAATAAAACAAATATGAACATTTTGTACAATCAAATCATAACCAATTAATTAAAAAATGCATACTCACATTTCTATGGAATTTCATAAAGGAATTAAGCATGTAAAACCGGTGCATATAGACAATTGCTGTGTTAATCGTAAGCTGGGATCTGCAGAGTTTGATTAAGGAAGAAAAACACTGCAAAATAACCTATATATATATAATATAACAAAAATATAATACTCATAAATCATAATTTTCCAAAATCACACCAAAACAGCTCATAGTCACAAATTACACTAATATAGAAGATGGCACTGAACAATAAACTATATTAAAAGGGAAAAATCATAAAACTACATATTTATAGACAATAACACAACATTCAATACGGACACATCTTGTGTTTAGCCATTATACTACACCAGTCACGTCTAAATCACTCTTAAACGCTTAAAAGACACAAAAAAAACTATTATTGTAATTAAATTAGGCAAAAACCATAATAGGGTGATTTAATCCCGAAATGCTGTTTATATCAAGTATTAAAGGGGTCATATGATGCGATTTCATTTTTTCCTTTCTCTTTGGAGTGTTACAAGCTCTTGGTGCATAAAGAAGATCGGTAAATTTGCAAAGACTAAAGTCTCAAATCCAAAGAGATATTCTTTATAAAAGTTAAGAGTTAGCCACACCTACCTAAAACGGCTCAACAATAATGTACAGTATGTGGAAAATAATGTGGTTTTTTAACTTTAAACCGCATAAACACATTTCATTACACCAAATACACAAAATGTTCTTTTTAGCAGCATCATATGACCCCTTTAAGGCACCGAATCGCACTCCTGTCATACGCACTTTTTCCCACACATTTACTCACTTTATACCACAGAGCACACTTTATAACACATTTAACACGCCAATTATGAAACTTGCGTGTGTTTGTGTGAATTCTAACACATTGAAACGTCGCATTTGATCCGCCACATTTTTCGCTTGATCAAAAGCGGCAGCGTGCTAACGGCTAACTCTCTCACGACGCGGCTGTTTTTGTGAAGGATACACGTTTAATCGCTGTCCCATGTCCTGAATTAGGTTGGCGGCTTGCTGTCGGTATGAGAGCTCGCGGTCGGGCTCGACTCCGCAGCGGCGGGACGGCGTGTTTTCGAGCTGTTCTCGGGTGAAGAGCCATTTGTTGGAGCCCCGCTGCACCACCGCCATCATCCCACCCGCTTCCGCACGCCTCGCGTTCTACTTCACCGTGACGTCACCGCGAGAGAACCCGAGCGCGGCAGCGACGCGAGCCGAACGGAGGCGGTACTGCACTGCGCGGAGAATCATAATATTCAGTGAAACAAAACGCAAATGGGAACGATTTAGATAGCTAATGGTTACTACAAATTTCGGAATACTTGTTAGGTATAATAACAGCTCTATATACTTAATAAGTAAATAAATAAATGCGGAATAATCGTAAATAATAAAAGTACCAGACGAAACTTTTAACAGCCATATTTGTCATATTAACTACATTATCAGGTGTATTTTGGGGTGTAAATTCAGTTAACAGATGTGTATGAATGGCAGTAAGGTGATTTATTTAGTGTGTTTTTGCTTCATGAATGACAGTTATAATTTTATTGACATTATTGTAGCGTTTCAACAAATTTATTCGGGGTTTGTGACTATCAGAGGTGTAGACTGGTGTAATTTTAGAAAATTCATTTTATATTTTATTTATAATTTTAATATTTTAATATGTATATTATATGTATAATTTATTTTAGATTATCTTAGATATAGATTATCTAGATTATATAATAATAGATGATATAATATTTTAAGCCTTGTGGGTATTATTGTAGATATTTTTTATAATAATTTTTTTTAATATTTATATATTTTTTTATATTTTTGTATTTAACATATTGATAATATTTTTTTAAATCATTTTTAATAATAATTATAACTTGATTATAATTATAACTTTCTGCCTGCCTGCCTGTCTGTCTATCATCTATCTATCTATCTATCTTTTCAAAAATCATAATCTATCATTGTAATACATGTGAATTCTCCGAAACAACCATGATACATTATTTTGTTATTAATAAAATATTTTTATCATTAATAATCAAAGGTATTTTCCTTTTTATTTGACTATTTTTATTTTCCAAAATTGGTCATTTCACAGACACTGCAATGGTGACTTTGTCACACAAGATGTCGCTAATTTCACCTCTACTTAACAGATTTGTAATTACTTTCGATTCAAAATACACGCATACAACCTTAACAGTAGCCGAAATCTATCTATCTATCTATCTATCTATCTATCTATCTGTCTGTCTGTCTGTCTGTCT